TGACTAGTACATATTTTGTGGAGGCCTGTAGCCAACCTCATTCCCAGGGTCTCTCATCTTCCACCCCCAAGGAGGCGAGAAGATGAGAGACCCTGGGAACGAGGTTTGCTTATAACTAGTGTGACTTTTGTTTATGCTGTATGTAATTAATCCACGAAAGCCGTAGGGGCTAAATTTTTTACTGAGTTCCTGAGAATGTCTTGCATTGAATCTAAAAATACCCTTATCGCCGAAAATTTTTGTAACAAAACTTCGGTCTAAAAGAGCTGAGGATGTTCTTAAAGAGAAATACGAAGTCGAAACATCCAATTGTCTCCTTGTGGCACTGTAATAATTCGAATTTCTAATCGACTTTCGCCGCTATAGAGCATCTTGTGTAATATTTATTTTGACTCTAGAGCTAAACTGAGTCATTTTAGAATGATGCGATGATTGTTAATCGAAGTATTTCGAAATATTTCTCGATCTTCGAACTACTTCAGTCGCTCAACATACAAAAACAACAAATTTATTTCAACAACGAAACCGTAGTTGAATGTTGTCAGGCCACAGACGTTCGATGCGCTTAATGGACGAAATCTGTACTTGAAATCTTCAATGTCATTATATTATAACTTGTATTGCACGAAAACGTAGTTACATCTTTCTCGGGAGAATTACAGACGAGATATTTGCTGTGGAAACGCTAATGAATACTTATAGTTTCAGACTATTCAGTGCTATGTGATTCTACGCAATACATTCTCCACATTTGCAGTATGGCGGATTTGGAAAACATTTCAGTTAAGCTTAAAGTAAGTCCCAAACTAACGAAATCAGAACACCATATCAGGCATATACTAGACTTCTTTAGGGCAGTGATATCAAGGTCTTAGCATGTTTTCCGAGACCTAAACCATCATTGGGAAATTGCAAATAAAAACTGTATTTTAAAATTTGTAACTGAACCCTGTGGAGAAATATAATGTACTTACAAGAAGGCTTATCCAAACTGGCATCAATATGAGACTGGCATACATGTAGCGTACTTCAAAATGGTCTACCATTCCGAGCACGAAGAGGATACCTGCCATTACAAGCTGAGCGATCGAGATGATTTTAAGGTCTCGTCTGTAAAACGCCATTTCGTGCTGTATTCCTTGGTAAACTCAAAGAGAGAATGGAAAAGGTCGTGATGTTGGCCCGTCACCCGTACTTAGGCCCTCTCTGAGGGAAACTACGCACGGGCTACGGGCATCACGTGCTCGAGTTTAGAAATAAAGACTGTTAACGTTGTTCACTGAGTCGTCCTTGCTGCCCAACATGGTGTCAGGAGTGGGATCGACCAGATAAATCGGAAAGAGAAAGATCTGTGGAAATTACACGCTCATCCAAAGCAAACGATAGCGGCGAACTAGTAAAACAACGATGGCGGCAAGCCTCAGTCGACCCGAATTGAAACTCAGCGGGAA